GCTAATCATCTGCCTCATCCTAGGTACCCCAGCCACCTGCCACCATCATTCAGCAGCTACCTCATCAGCCCCTCATTGCACAGATTCCTCCTCCCCAGGCCTTCCCCACTCAAAGGTCTGGGAGTATTAAGGAAGGTAAGTATTTCATATTAATATTATGATGAGTTTATAAAATTCTATATTGGAAGAAAAAATATTTTTGTAAGAAGGATAGTCATTTAGGGTCAACTTTTAGCTACTCAACTGATGCTATAAATTTACCAACGTGAAAATAATTTTAATCAAGAAACCCTTATATGAAGGATATCTCTGAGAGAAATAAACAAGGGGCAGAAGAAAGGGCACTGGACTAGCAGTCAGACGAACTGGGCTCTAATCCCAACTCATCCGATTATTAGCAATATAAACAATCTTGGTTCAATTGCTTCTTTTTTAAAATAACTTCTAGATATTTGATTTTTAAAACAGCTTTCTTGAGATGTAAGTGACATAGAATAAGCTGCATATAGTTAAAGTGTACAATCTGATTAAGTTTTGACATATATGTATCCGTGAAACCATCACTACAATCAAACTAGTAAATATATCCATCACCCCAAAAGTTTCTTTATGCTGTTTTTAATTCCTCCTTCCTGCTCCCGCAAGCAACTGCTGATCTGCTTTTTGTCACTATGTATCAGTTTGGATTTTGTAGATTTTTATATAAATGGAATCATATGGTATGTACTCTTTTTATCTGGCTGCTTTCACTCAGCATGATTATTCAAAGATTCATCCCTATTGTTGGGTGTATTAATACTTGGTTCCTTTTAATTACCAAGTAATATTCCATTATGCAAATGTACCACAGTTTGTTTATCCATTCACCAATAGATGGACACTTGAATTATTTCAGTTTTTGGTTATTACCAAAAAAGCTGCTAAGAACATTCATGTAGTATTTTCTGTAGATACATGATCTCATTTCTTTTGGGTAAATACCACCTTCTGATATCATTTTTCATCATCTTGAAATAAACCTTTAAAAGCTCTTTAGGACAGTCTCTGTAAAAGGGTCTCTGAAGTGTTTACTTTTCTACAAATGTTTTTGTTTGCCCTTGTTCTTAAATAATAGTTTTGCTGAGTATTCACATCTAGATGGATACTTATTTTTCTCTCAACACTTTCTAGATTTATTCTCCTGCTTTCTGACCTCTGTTGTTGTTGTTGAGGTATCTGCTGTCATTCTCTGCAATTCCCTTCTAGATAATCTGTGTCTTCTTTCTGGCTATTTCCAAGGTCTTCTCTTTGTTTCAGATGTTTTACAGTTTTACTAAAATGTGTTTAGGTACAGATTTCTTTTTATTCATCCTGATTTGGATACAATATGCTTCTTGGATCTGTGAGGTTGTTTGTTTTTTTAATTTATTTTGTTTGTTGTTGTTGAGAATATACACAGCAGAGCATACACCAATTCAACAATTTCTACATGTACAATTCAGTGACATTGATTATATTCTTCAAGTTGTATAGCCATTCTCACCCCCCTTTTCTGAATTGTTCCTCCCTCATTAATATAAACTCACTGCCCCCTAAATTCCTACCCGATCTTTCAAGTTGCTGTCGTCAATTTGATCCCATATAGATAGTTCTTAAAAGAGCACAATGCTCAAGGCAGACATTCCTTACTAGTTAAGCTAAACTATTGTTTGGTTTGAAGAAGACATCAGGGGATATTTTTTGTTTAAGGTTTAAGGTTTAAAGATTATCTCAGCCCAGTAGTTTCAGGGGTTCATCTAGCCTTCCTGGCTCCAGAAAGTCTGGATTCCATGAGAATTCGAAATTCTCTTTCTGCATTTCTCCTCTTTTGATCATTTGATCAGAATTCTTATATAGGATCTTTGATCAAAACATTTAGTAATAATAGCTGGGCACCATGCAGTTCTTCTGGTCTCATGGCAAAGGAGGCAGTTGTTCACGGAGGCAGTTAGCCACACGTGGCATTTCCTTCTCTTATTCTTGACTCTCTTCCTTCCTTTACTGTGAGGTTATGTTTTGTTAGTTCTGGAAAATGTGCAGTCAGTATCCTTTTAAATATCTTCTGTCCTCCATTCTGCCCCTTGAGACTCCAATATGAGCTGTTAGTCTCTCTTTTTATGCTCCAACCTACCTAATCTTACTTTTATGTTTTCCATTTTTTTGAATCTCTCTGATGTATTCCAGAAAAATTCTTTGAATATACCTTCTGGTTCGCTGATTCTCTCTTCAACTATATCTAATTGACTATTCTATTCATCCACTGAATCTTTTTACATTTCAGCAAATATATCTTTATTTCTAGAATTTCCATTTTTAAGTCTTCCTTTTCATTCCTGATAGTTTCTTATTATATACTTATTTAAAAAATTCTCACATTTACTTCTTTAAACATCTCTTTATGCATTTTACACTGGACCTTGGAAGCTGTTTCTTCTGGCTTTTATTCATAGTTAGCTTTCCTTCCTTTGTATTTGAGAATCTTGTGTGTGTGTGTATGTAAGAGAAAAAGATAGCTCATGAATTTTTTTAACTTCATTGAAATATACATACAGGAAATACACTAATCATAATCATACAGCTTGATAAATTTTCACAAAGTGAAGATACCCATGTAAATAG